AGTTAAGACTTAAAACATATAGCAATAGGTAATACATCTCACCCCCTTTGTTTTTTGAGTAACTTAAAATTTATAACTTGTTCCTCATCAATAAATCATAACTGCCATTTCCTTTCAACTTTACAGAAACGTTTAAGGCCTTGTCAGAACTTCTTCTGAAAGTGATATTTAGTACTTTCAAAATACACACACACACACACACACACACACACACACACACACAAACATACAGAGTAAAATTGAAACTAAATTTAGAATTAAAAAATGAACTCCACAATCATCTTTAGTAATGCAGGAATGAAAACCAAACATCGGGCATTCTTACAGTTGGGAGCTAAAATAAGGATCTGTGAAGGCATGCAGAATGGTATAACGGACATTGGAGAATCAGAAGGTGGAGGGGAGATGGTAAGGGGGAGGGATGAAAAAAATTATCAGGTACAAAGTGCACAGGTGACAGTGGTGGGTACACTTAGAGACCAGACTTCTTCACCATTATACAATGCATCCATGTAACCAAAAACCATCTGTACCCTCCAGAACTATTGAAATAAAAAACAAACCAAGAACAAAATAAAGCACTGGGTCTTGCAAAAACCTAAAAAAAAAAATTATTTGTGCATGCAACTTTATTGTTTATTGTTTTGGTCAAATGGTTTACAAAGCCTTAGTAACTCACTTCAAAACACAAATGAAACTTTTTTTTTAATGAATGGGAAAAAAATGAACTAAACTCTAAGAATGAAGAGGAACGGATTGTATAGATTTTGCCAAATCATTTTAGAAAACAAAACGGTTTTGGGTGATATTCTTAGTAATTCTTCTAGACATGTCAATAATAATCTTAAAATTCAGAATACACAGAGTTGCATAACGTGAGAAAAAAATTGTGTTGAGGATTCTGAGTGCATCTTGCTGGTTGAAAGGATGAAAGCCAATTCTAGCGCCACTGTTTCAGTAGTCTTCAAATCTCACTTTGCCAGTGAGGCCTATTCTGGACTATCCCAGTCAACACTGCAATTTCTCTACCCTGCAATCCTGATCTCCTTTTCCTAACTCTTCCACATTTTCCCCGTAGCATTCACTTATTATCTTATATATAGTAATTTGTTGATTGTCTATTTTCCCTTGCTAGAATGTAAGCTCTATGAAGGCAAGAAGCTGTTCACCCACTTTTACCTCGAGAATATAGAACAGTGCCTGAAACATATCAAGTGCTCAATAACTGTTGAATTACTTGCAACTTAGTTTATGACATCGTGTTGTTCAAACATGGCATTTTTCATTTTGCTTCATTCTTTATCTTCCTCTGTGATGGTCAAGAACCCTTTGTCGATCTTTTCAAAGCACTGTATTTAGTCAGGTATAATAACTTAGGCTGTGATAACAAATTGTCCAAAAACATCAGGGCAAATGGTTTATTTCTTGTTCATGCTGATGTCTAACCAGTTTAGTGGGGAGAAGGGAGAATTTGAGGGAGTTCTGCTCCACATAGCCACTCAAGACCCAGGAAGACAGAACTGCACTATATAGAGTATGTCAACTCCTTAATCACAGAAGTAGGGGAAGAGATAAATTAGATGGCACAGGAATTCTTTTAATTGCCTTTACTGGGAGTGTCACATTACTTCCACTGGTATCTAATTGGAACGAACCAGTATCATAGGCCTCATCTAACTCCAAGGGGGTGAAAACTTAGGGGAGCACATGGAATGTTTGATGATCATTACTGTATCATATTTTATAATTATTTTAGTAATGATTTCTCTACAGGAGTGTAAACTCTTGAAGGACGAGGACAGAGTGTGTCTGTTTTGATCACTAATGTATTCCAAACACCTGTTATATATAACAAGGATTTGATAACTATTTAGTTGGATGAGTAAAAAATTTAAAACCAAAGTCAAAATAATCAATTTTAATTTTTTAAAAGAAAAATACTCTCCATAGGAAGGCATTTCTATTTTTTATGTCCATCAGTAGCCAAATGGAACTCGATAAAAACATTTCTGAGGCTTTGATTTAATGCACCTTTGAAAATAACTCATTAAACCACACAAGATGTTTCCAATAAACTTAATATCCAAGATTCATTACTGTATGTCAAAGGTCATCCATAGTTAACATTTTCATTACCACAAACTGTGAAATTCCAGTGAGAAATGTTTGCCTGAACCCAACTATTTAATCTCTCAAGCTGAGTCTAGTACTCTCGATTATCTACTTCACTCACTCGCTACACACATACATACACTGCCCATTAGGGCATGAGGACAATTTAATGGAAAAAGAAAATAGAAACTGAAAGGGAATTTGTACATGTGGGACGTCATTTCTGAAGAGAGAGTAGGAAGAAAATCCTGAAGGTGAACACACAAAAAAAGCTAGTTAATCGGCTATACAGAAAACCACAACTAAACATTTTATGAAATTCACTGCAGTAGACAGATCTGGCAAACTAAAACACCAGAGCCATAACTACAAGCCTTGCTCCATTCCATACAAACAGAATCTCTAACCATTATAAAGACAGATGAGAATCCACATGCAGCAGAAGAAATATAAATTATTTTTAATTAAAAAAATAAAAAATATATATCATTAAACACATCATTTAAAAATATGCAGATTTTTAAATGTAGTTATGTTCAAAGATGGCAGTTAACTTCACTCAGATGTAAAAATGTTTTAAAATATCAATACATTGGTTTATAAGTCATACACTGCCCTCAACTAAATGTTTAACCAAAATTATCAGATAACCATCAAGAGTCATACGTTCCAAGCCCATCATCATACTAAACAAAGTTAAGTTTCAGAGCAAAAGGTGAACCAATCATGAAATATTAAGTTTTTAATGTGACAGAAGTCACCTGAGCACTCAAATGTAAAGACAAGTAAGTGATAAACCAGCAGTAGCCTTTTTTTTTTCAGGCATAAAAACTAATTTGCTCTAAATTGAGCAACTATTTAGGAACTATAAAAACTGAAAAGTTCATCTTTTCCAACCTATAAGGGAAATAGGTGATGAAATTTACTAATATAGTGTTTCACACATGCTGTTTAACTATTTAACATATAATTCCAAATGCAAATGACTTGAGAAATATCTACAATGTTAAACTTGTCTATTTTAAACAAATGGAACTGGGTTATTTAGACATATATCATCCTAATGCCAACAATATTTAAACATTCATGAGTAGCCCACTGAGTTGGAAAGAACTCTCAATAATTCCATCTGTAGTATTAGAAAGTAATCAAATCAGTTCATTTTCTGATGCAATGGAACATCCTACAAATCCATGACAAATATGCTAAGCTAAAAAGGCTCTGAGCATACACACAGTATAAATTTCATTTTTAAAAACACACACATGAATATACAGAAAAAATGATTGTATAGTCACTATTAATAATGGCTATGTCTCCAGGTGGGAAGATTATGATTAATCTGGTGTGATGGGAAAGTATTTTCAAAATACCTAACTTAAGAACCAGAATACTACCATCAAATAAAACTATTTTGACCTTTCCTGTCTTCACATTAAAAACTTTTTAAAGTTACCAACCAATGTGAATTTGTCAGAGTGGCTACCCCACATTCTGATATACTTATTAGAAGGAAGATCTTTTGAAAGATAGGAAAATGGCAGGATTATAATCATAAAGGAATTTTGCTCTAAAATTAAAAACTGCTAAGCAACTTAATCATTAGGCTTCCTACAGCTATGATAGTTCTATAGGAAAGTCAGTTTCTAATATCTCATCTTTAAAAGCTTTTCTCATCTTGTTTGCTAGTTTTTAGGTACCATCCTTACACAAGTTCCGGACTGAATACTTTTGTTTCCACTCACAACCATTTCTCTCTAAACTAGCAACAGCACATTTCAGCCATTTAAGGCTAAGCTTTAGATGTGTCTCTAATTATCTGGCAAAAAAAAAAAAAGAACCAAGAGTTTCATGTTAGCAGCAAATTAACCAGATTTAAGGGTCTTGATTTTTCGTAAGCCTTTGGAAGCCTGCATGTTAAACACTGGTGATTTTTAAGTTCTCAATGGAAATGGTGATGGCATTCACTGAACCAAGCCAGCTCAAATTACAGTGTAATGAGGAAATGACATAAAAATAAAACTACCAGCAAATTCCTATTTCTCAAGCATCACCAAAATGTCTTCTCATACATTAGAATTGTAGTAGACTCAAGTAGTTTTCAATCACTTACACCTAAAATACTTAAATGTGTGTACACACTCACATATATACTTCAGACTTTTTATACTATTGCACATTATTCACATTTACTTTTCAAAAATCACATGGAGAAAATGTACACTTGAAATAAAGTTAAATTCCACTGTTACATTAATAAACTGCTTTATTCTCAAAACACTTACACAAGCTACACTTTGACTTATTTCCTTACTAAGCTTTGTTGAAAGGATATACTTTAGTCTTAAAGCTTTTAAGAATATTAGAAATAACAAGATTAAATTCAAGCACACAAAGTCTTTTAGACTATTCTGGAATTTTTATGTGGCACAAGTCATGATGAGTAGATGAAACTTTCCATATGTCGATGGCAGAGTTTAAAATTATAAAGAAAAGCCACAACACTGAAATGAAACCCGAAGGATCAAATCCATTCTGGGGAATTATCTTCAGACATCTGGCTTAATAAAACAAAAATATGCACAATTCTCCAAGAATCTAAAGTTTTTCAGGATTAGAATTCTATTTAACGTGGTTGTACAATTCATGAAGTGGTGACTAAGGTCCTAAAAGTAAGTGCTTCTCTTAAATATGAGTAGATACTCTACTCACAAGCTGACAAAAAGCCGTGCATTTATAATAGTAAGCTTTGAAGGATGGGGCGGGGGTTGTTAAAAAAAAAAAGAAGCTCACAGAAAACTTATCACATCTGGCTGCCCATTCTTTAAAATTTCAGTGGATTTACGCAATCTAAATTATAAACCCTCATTTAATAAAACACCCACACAATGACAAGAATGAGACTTTAATCAGTTTTAAGTGGAGTTTATAACACTAAGAGATAAAGGGTTGTTAACAAACACAATAACAAATGGACATCTGATTGGTATGAGGCATTATCCTGTACACATCATATTGGGTTTTTTTGTGTATCCTCAGTGCATAGCATTTACACACACAGCCACTGCTGCACAGCACAAGAGTATCTGAAGAGGCTGAATCAGGTAAGGCTGTTTAACAGACTGAAGTTTTTTAGTATATATATTCTATATGAAAACAGATCGAACTTTTGAACTGGCAGGTAGAAGGCAACTCTGCCAAACGCTACAGTGAAAGCCCCCGCTTGAGTGCACAGTTCCACCCCTTCCATCTGCATGCATGACACATTAACAGTATTTAAAGGTAAACGAGGCACTTTGTGGCAACCACAGCCATCGTTATGAACATATTGCACACATTTTCTAGAACTAGACATGGAACTTGTACCCTACTTTTATTTTTTTAAAGCTGAAACATTTGATGCTGCCGGTAAACTCCACTTAAGTTTACAACCTGTGCCACAGCAAAGAATGGTGATGCTATTTACTTCACTACCCTTTCCTCATGATGGCAAAAATGTTCAAGAGGAGCTACAAAGGACTTGGGATGGTACCGGGCCCGATTGTAAGCCTTTTAAAAAGTGATGCCTTCAAGTAACTTCAGACATGTAAGCTGCTGCACATCCAAAAAGTCTAGGGAAACATTCCAGAAACTCCGAGAGATTACCTACAGAATGCATTTCAGGCTAATTGTGAATACTGTCATAAATAAAGTTTCAACTAGGACCCGAAAACCTTTCAGTCATAGCAATTCTTGTCAAATTCTATGGGGATGGTAACTGAAATAAAGGAGAGTATGTATAATATATATTTATATATATAATATATATATAATGCCATTTTTCCATTTCCAATGACTACACCATAAAATGTAAGCAAGGCTTCTCAAAAACACTGAAACATTCAAAATCAAAACCCTCATTCAGACCTTCACATTCCAAAGGAAAAATAATAACAGTGCAAAAGCCCATTATAATGTCATTACTTATGACCTGGCCCTCCATGTTACGTATTGGAACAATACAAGTTATGTTTTAATATGCTGTGCCCAAAATTGTAACAAAGAACGATATTAATAACTATCTTCAAAACATTAAGTTGATTTTCATTTTAGTCAACAGTTTTCAGTTTTTATGAAAGACAAGGTGGCATATAAATTTCAATGGTGAGATCTTAGGAACAGTTGTCTCTGACTTTTCCAATTTAACCTATGAGCAGTCAATTTAGACTCTATATATCAATGTTTAAATATAAATGTGTAAATCCTAAGAGCTTTGTTAAAAATTTAAAAATTTTGTTTGTTGAATGAAACTGACGAGGTATGGAAAACACGTCCACATTATAGACTAAGAATATTTCTGATGAAGTTCTGCCTAATCTATTTACCATCAAACTCTATAAATGCTGCTCTAGGAGGTCCTATGCAATCTGTATTTGCAAATTAACTAGGTCAGACCACAGCTAGTGAACAATGTCAGCACCAATAAGTTATTGAAAATGGAACTTCACACCATTAAGAAATATAATGGCTGGGTATTCAAATGTCAAGGTCAAGATATAATTTGAAAGACACCAAATTTTTGGAAAAAAAATCTTTTTAATAGTATCTTAACATTAGCTTTACATTAGTAGTTGTACTCTGCTTAAAATAGTCTGCAGTCTGGGCGTATCAAATATATGATGATACTTTTTAAGAAGTGAAATTGAAGCCCTAGTCCCAACACTAGCACTACAAAGAAATAATCCAACACTGCACATTAAAAAAAAATCTATTCTTTCAATAGCAAATCAATAAAGCATATGTAGGACAATTTCTACTGAAAATTAAATGTCTTATTATCTGCGCAGTGTTGAAAATTTACTGCAACTCTAATTTCCTTTTTCAACACAAATAATGTCCTTTTTAATATAAACACTATATGTATTCAGTATTCAAGTAAAATTCCCTAACAGTTAATGACATTTAAAAATGTGCAAAACTGCAAAACTCATTGTAATAGAATGTGTAAGGTCAAAAGGGTGGAACGGCTGACAGCTATTGGACTGAGTAAGTGCATCATAAATCTTCAAAGAAAAAAAAAACGCTTACTGTAGAATCTCCAATTGAAATTTCCTGTGCAGCATTACAAAATATTTTGTACTTAATGAGAAGAAAAAAGGTTGCAGGCAGCACATGAAGCATCCACAGCAGGTATATGATTGAAAACGTGTAAAATAAGTGTAAGTTGTTGGCTGATGTAGGTACTAATAGCATCTGACTTTCAGAACTGGCCTTGATTACACAGGAGATGGAGCAGTCATTACAATTGAGAAAACGTATTTAATAAATCATTGTCAATTTTTATAATGTTTCAAGCCCATTCTTTGTTGGTAGCCTCCACATTTCTATGGTTAAGTCATTGTTGCTGTGTTTTTTATCTGTGACCACATTATTTTTATATCCCTTCATTTGTGGATTCTTAAGATGTGGCCGAAGGTTCATTCCTGTACCCCAATACAGTTTCACTTCCTCTAGCTGCCTTTTCTAGCACCAATATGCTTTAAAAAAAATGCACAAACAACAAGCAGTGACAGCGGCCAATTCCTCAAATGTCCAGATTAATAACTATAGCATGCTAAAGAAAGGTGTGTGTAAATAGCTGGAGATGGTATATGGTCCAGAGTCCAGCATAAAATAGATTCCTTTCTGAGCATTCCCTCCATTCCCCTAACCCAAATACATGCATTAGAATGTAGCAAAACCCTTTGGAAACTTCTCTTAGCCAACTGCAAACTTATCTGTTGCCACAAGTGCAAAGGGGTAGGATGTGAACCAGTATATCACAAAGCTCTTTAGCCACTTTAGTTGGTGACAGAACACAAGAGGAAAAACTCCTACGTATACACATCAGTCTGTCTCCACTTTTTATAAAACTGGAATAAAATGGGAAAGTGCCATCTTTATTAATCCTAATTGAATTTTAAATGTCCTTTTGACACAAAAAGATATATACATGACACAGCTACACAACCTTTTTTCAACTGGACAACAAGTGTCAAAACCCTGTGGATGTATAGGGTAAAACAAGATTGGTCAGGAAAAGAGAATTGTTCCTATAACTGGTAATCTGACACAATGTCCTATTGCCATTAAAAAAAAAAAAAAGGTCCATTTTCAGTTTATTCAAGTTTGTTTTCATGGTGTTTTATCCCTCTTGATAAAAAAAAAATTCAGACTTTTGTAATTTGTGTATGCTGATCTTCATCAAAAGGTTCGTTCTCTGGATCAGAGTCAGTGGTGTCAGAATATCTATAATGATCAGGTTCATTGTCACTAACATCTGGTGTTACAGAAGTTGAACTGCTTGCCTCTGGATTTGATGGCTCCTCTACTGTTTTTGTAAAATACAGCTTCACCTACAGAAAGAAAATTTATAATGAAAATCCACAAATATAATTCATCTTAAATTTCTTAGTGAAGACATATATTTTAACGGATTAATTTTCAGTACTATAACAAATGTGATCTTCAATAGGCAACTATCTATTAAATAACCCTCTTCTTATTAGAATTTCCTACATTTTCTTTCTTGCTATGTACTGAAAAGATAAAACTATTAGGATAATACACTTTAAAAAAAAAAGAAGTATAAGCTGCAAACAGTAAATAATTCTACGAAAGAAATAAAAATGAAAGGTCAATAGTTTACACAATACAGTTTTTCAATTACAAAATTCAATTCACTAATGGTGAGTTCTCAAAGAATGTTTCTCTTACTATCCATCTAAAACTTTTTGATATAAACAACACTACACAAACACAAAACACTGATCAACAATGATGTTTAGGATTCACCAGCCCTAGAAAGTTCACCTAAAGGAAAGGAGGAGAAGTTATCATACGATAAACAAAGGGCCATTACATGCACAGTAAACATAATTGTCAAAATAATCCTACCTACATACTAGCTATTTTAAAGAAGGGGAAGCTAAGGCTCAGAAAGGTTAGGGAATTTGGTAAAGATCACATATCTAGCAGGCAGGGAATTTGAGATTTAAATCAGATCTGACTTCAAATCCCTTCCTCATCCTATCAACAGCCCATCCCCTATCATCCAAGAGTCATTATCGATTCTTCTCTTACGAGCAACATCTACTCCATCAGCGAATCCTTTAAATTAATCTGACATCTTACCCCCTTCTCTCTCTACTTTTCTTGTGAGTCTAATATTAAAAACAAAATTCAGATTCATCATTCTTGTGCTAAACACACGCTAGTATCTTCACACTTGGACTAGTCCCTTGTCCACTCAGTTTTAGTCAAACTTACTTAGCACTCCTCAAATATACCAAGCTCAATCCCCGTCTCAGTGTTTTCATGTCAATACTCTTCCCCTTTTCCCCAGATATCTGTATAGTTAACTCATATTATTTAAATGTTTAAATGTTATCTGCTTGGTCATGCCTTTTCTAACCATTCTAGCTAAGACAACAACAATAAAACAAACAAAACACAGACACACACACACAAGATTACTTTCTAATCCCATCTCTACTTTTCATAGCACTTATCATGATATAACTTTACATTTGCTTACTAATAACTTAAGTAGTTTTTATTTGTAATCACAAATATAAAACTTCTTGCAGTATTAAAACAGAAAACATTAAAATGAGAGGGAAAAACATTTTTAAAGCTAAAGGCTGAGGAAAAGGCAGATATAGAGAAAAGGAAGCAAGCCTACAGATTCTAAAGAAAACACCTAGCAGCCGGGCTCGGTGGCTCAGCCTGTAATCCCGTGCCTTTGGGAGGCTGAGGTGAGTGAATTGCCTGAGCCCACGGGTTCGAGACCCACCTGGGCAGCAAGACCTCATCTCTACAATAAATCAAAAAATCAGTCGGGTGTGGTAGTGCATGCCTGTAATTCCAGCTACTCGGAAGGCTGAGGCGGAAGGATCGCTGGAGCCCAGCAGGTCGAGGCTGCGGTGGCCAGGAGCGGCCACTGCACTCCAGTCTGGGCGACAGAGTGAGACTCCAACTCAAAAAAAAAAGAAAACACCTAGCCAAGAGGACATTACGTAAAGGTAAAATAAGTCAGACACGGAAAGATAAAGACTGCATATTTTCACTGATATGAAGGTGGTTATTAGAAGCATAGTTATTAGAGATTGGAAAGGACCCAGAAGGGAGGACAGAGAGAGCCTGGTTAACAGACTCAAGAAAGGAGGAATAAGCTCTAGTGTTCTAAAGCACTGGAGGGTGACTACGGTTAACGATAATTGACTGTATATTTTCAAACAGCTAGAAGAAAGAATTTTGATTTCCAACACAAAGGAATGATAAATGTTTGAGGTGATGTATATACTAATACCCTGATTTGATCACTAGATTGTATACTGTATAAAAGTTATTACTCTTACCCATAAATATGTATGAGTATTATTTCAACTTAAAAAATTTTAAATGAAAAGAAACTTCTAGACACTTAAGAAATGTGATTCTAAAGCCACTTAATATTAGATCTATTCTCACTTAAAACATGTAGGGCCTTGTCACTTTTTTTAAGAATTACTAACAATGTTCTTATGCTTACAAGCTATTGCTAGGTTTGCTACATGTTATAAAAACAGAACAAAAAATAAGAAAGAGTAAAAAAAGAGAAAGGAAAAGAGTATGGAAAGGCTAAAATCAAGGTGAATAGGAATAGGGTCTAGGTGCAGTGGCTCATGCCTGTGATCCCAACAGGCAAGGGGACTGCTTGAGACTAGGAAATCAAGACCAGCCCGGACAACACAGCCAGACCTCATTTCTACCAAAAAAAAAATTTTTTTTTTTTATAAATTAGCTGGGCCTGTAGTCCCAGTTACATGGGAGGCTGAGGCAGAAAAGTTGTCTGAGCTCAGGAGATTAGGACTGTGGTGAAAATTCTCCAGAATTGGAAAGGAGAAGAAAAATGGCAAACAACCATTTGGGAATGTTTACAAGACACATTTTTTTAATCTAAAGAATTCTTGTCTAGAAATATATACTTATCACATATAGACAAAAATGAAACAAACCAAGTAATTTCTAGATACAAAAAGGAAATACAAAGTGATTTTAAAAAAGAATAACACAGTAGCTCAAGCCTGTAATCCTAGCATCTCGTAAGGCTGAGGTGAGAAGACTGCCTAAGTTCAGGGGTTTGAGACCAACCTGGGCAACTTGGTGAGACCTCTTCTCTACAATAAATAAAAAAAAAAATAAGCCAGCTGTGGTAGCTAAGGTGGGAAGGAGCACCTGAGCTCAGCAGGTCAAGGCTGCAGTGGCCATGAGTGTGCCACTGCACTCCAGTCTGGGCAAGAACGAGAGTACAACTCAAAAAAAATGAATAACAGAGGACAGCCAGTGAAAGGCCTTTCAGAGTAGATGGAACTGAAACTAAGATTGGAAATGGGAGGATAGCTATGTGAAGGCCAAGAGGAAAGCTTGGGTGGAAAGGTACAGAAAGAAGAAAAAGAACTGGACACACAAGAGGCAGAAGTTTAATCCTTTGCACTCAGATTGCAAATCTAGCAAGCCATTTGGATGTCCCCTCTCAGAGGACATAAAGAGATTGCTGATGATTATACAGGACAAACTTATTCCAGGACAATTTTTTAAAAATGTATGTTTCCTTGAAGTTTTCCATTCAAATTGCATGAAAAAGCAAATGCAGAGATAGAATATATATTGAGACATGGATTGATCAGTTGAGAAGTGGATTTCAGCAATCGCGAGTGTGTCCTTCTACATCTTCTTTGAATAACAGATTGGACAATAAATTTCATATTATAAATAGGGGAGGAGAAAAACGAGACTGCACTGTCTGCTTGAATAGAAAAACACCAGGTAGAAGACGTCAGACAAATTACTGCTGCACAACATGTATCAATGAACCTGCAATGTATGTAGGCGACTGTTTCACAGATTACCATGTTAGAAAAATATATGACATTTTGATATTGTTGTCATAAGTAAGTTCCTCAATATCCAAAATTCTAACGTTCTAATGTCCAAAATGATAAGCCAAATATCATTACAATAAAATAATTAGTCCCAACACTATACTATTTCATATGAAGTGATTCGTTTTTCACTATTTCATAAAAAAATGTACAACTGAGTTGCTGGTAGGTGATCTGCAAGGTGTCTCTGAGTGCAAAGGTTTAATATTTTGAAGAACTGGAGAGAGACCAGTATGACTGAATCTCAGGGAACAAAAAGAGAAGGTAGCTAGAGTTGATGTAGGAGGTAGGCCTGTGCTAAATTATGCAGGTCCTTGTGGGTCATGATACAAAAATCTACAAGGTCTTTATATATAAAGTGTAAATAGAAGTGACACAATTTAAAAATGTTTTTTTTGAGTCAGAGTCTCACTCTGTTGCCCAGGCTGGAGGGCAGTGGCACGCTCATGGCCACCCTGGCATCGACCTGCTGGGCTCCAGCGATCCTTTTGCCTCAGCCTTCCAAGTAGCTGGAACTACAGGCATGCGCTACCGCGGCCCAGTTAATTTTCTTAAAAAATTTATTGTAGAGACGAGGTCTCGACAAGTTACCCAGGGTGGGTCTCAAACCCACGGGCTCAGCCCATGCTCTCGGCTTGGTCTCCCAAGTGCTGGGACTAACAGGCTGAGCCACCGCACCCGGCAATATCTTTTAAAAATTGCTCTGAGGAACTGAGAATAAATCTAAAGGGAGAAAAGGGTAGAAGCAGTGGAAACATTCCATGTGAATAATTGTCAAATGACTGAGTCCCTGTTCATTTCTTTCTTCCCCCATTCCTATTTCCTATCCTACTCACTTGATTCCCCTCCTGTATCTCTGCCCCAGATTTCACCAAATAACAATAAAGAATTGGGTAAGAAAAAATACAACTTTTTGACTGCACGCATCAGACATTTTGTCAGAAATTTTCAGGTTACTACTACATAAATATTGCTTCTAAATAATACATAATTTAAAAACTAGTTGATCAAGTTCTTCATTGGCTATACCCTAAAGTACGCATGTGTACACACACACACACACACACACACACACACACACACACACACACACACCCCAACTCCCCAAAATGTTTAACTAACCTTAAAATTTGGAGAGAAGTATCGGTTGGCCTTGTCTTTATTTGCTTTGTCAAGATCATTTTTTGTTAAAGTAAGTACTAGATATTCCTTGTCATTATCTGCACGCTCTATACTGCAAATGCTATCAATTTCTTGATCACATAGACTTCCATTTTCTACTTTCTCTGAAGTTTCTTCTGGTCCTGGTATGAAGAACGTATTTACCCAAAAGTGAAACATTTTATCCTAAAGAAAGAAACAAACATTTATTTTTTATTAATGATTAAAAAAAAATATCACCTATATCCAACATCTGCTCCAAGAAGGCAACAGAAAAACTACATAACATTTGACAAAGACTATTATATGGCAGTCTTTAGGTTATCTGTTGCTTTCTCAGTCACATGATTTTTCTGTCACTCAAATTTTAGAACAAAAATATCATCTCACAAGAGCTAAGATAAATTATTTCTATCTTAAAATTGTAAGTAAAATACCTCCTTTGTAGCCTAATGTCAGCTTTAAAAAATTTTTTGAGTTTGTGTATGCATATATTTAAACAAAATTCAGATATGGTTTTTATTTTTTCTACATTTTAAATGAGTTATCTATTTCAAGATTTACTTTACCAAAAGTCCTTGGAAGATTAGTGCAACTTACCTGATGAAGCCTGACAGGTACGCTTTACGGCAATACAAACATAAGTAGCTCCAACTTTTTACATAACAATATATGCATGAGCCAGGCTTGGTGGTTCAGCCTGTAATCCCGCGCCTTTGGGAGGCTGAGGTGAGTGGATTGTCTGAGCCCGCGGGTTCGAGACCCGCCTGGGCAGCGAGACCTCATCTCTACAATAAATCAAAAAATAAGCTGGGCGTGGTAGCGCATGCCTGTAATTCCAGCTACTTGGAAGGCTGAGGCGGAAGGATCACTGAAGCCCAGCAGGCAAGGCTGCGGTGGCCGGGAGCGGCCACTGCACTCCAGTCTGGGCAACCGAGTGAGACTCCAACTCACAAAAAAACAAACAAACAAACAACAACAAAAAAACAATATATGCATGAAAACTTTCAGAATAAAATATGAATGGGCAGGGAGAAGTACATATGATTTCTTTTTATGCTATAAAATGCCTATTTAAAAAAAAATTTTTTTTTTTAATTTTAAAAGAAATTTAAAAGAATTAAAAAAAATTCTTACTAATAATATGAAGCCTTCTTAAGAAAAACTCCAACAGAAGTTCATCAAAACTTTTCTTGACCAACACAGAAATGTGGCCTATATGACTCATTTGACAATAGCAGCCTTATCTGGTGCCCTTCAAATGCCAGTTAAATCTTTTATCCTAATTTATCTTCAAGTTTGTTTTTTCCCCCAAGAAAATAAGACCCTTAAGGATCTCATGTCTTACACTGTATTATTTTAATAGTACCAAGCAAGCCAATCTTATATATGACAAGTCTTTAAAATTTTAATTTCAATCATTTTGGCAAGGTCATTGAGTTAGTAATTGTACTTTGCTTTCCAAAAAGTAAATTTCTTATGTATGTACTGATTATACTAAAACTACTTTTGTTTTAATCATAGCAGACAATTAAATAAGGCAGGAAAGATCACATAAAATGAGAAAATTTATATAATCTAAGATATATATACTACATTTTATTTAACCTTCAATTTTACATGTATTAATATAAAGTAAAAATGATAAGAATTAGTACATTCTTAAAGGTATGGGGAATGGTGATATAGGTGTCTATTTTTAAAAAGAAAATATAAAATTTTATGTGTACCAGTCTTACAATGAATTAAAAAAAACAAGACTTGCTAATTATCAAAAAATAATTTTTTCAAAGTTATTGAGATATATTTAACTTTTATTTATATAAAAAAGATAAGAAATGAGTTTCTGATGGAAAAAAGTCAGTTTAACATTTTATAATATTTTTCTAGCTACTTGGATTCTGGATAAAGGAAATTCTATTTCTTCTGATAAATCAAAGCAGCATTTAAATTTTTACAGTAATGAAACTTCCTCTTACTTTCTTTCAAAAGGAAAGCTCAAACTTTAAAAAAAACCAAAAAACTATATCAATCCTGTTACTGAGAATGTCTAAAGATTGGCAATATGTTAACAATCTAGTATGTATAACAAGGTAGCAACACTACACAAAGTTGGTACTTTTTTCATTACTACCTAAAAATTTTGGACCATAGGCTCACTTTAAATGTTCACACTTAATATTTTAAACCAAGATAGTTTTAAAATGAGCTCTTGTTTTCTCTAAATACAGTTCAGCAAAATTGAAAATCTCACTGATTTTCTAAACCTGCATATTAAAATATCACATTTTTCATTCTTTATTACTTTATCATCTTACCAATTTCTCTTTTGGTTAAAAAAACTAAATAATAAGTAACTCTGGGGAAGGAAGTTAAATAGAAAATAAGTCAGCCTTTCAAAACAAACTAAAATGGGGGGAAAGAGACCACAAAACAGATCTTATTTCTACCTATAGACCAACATTTTTTTAAACGTATGGTTCCATGCTAATTTCTTCTCAGTTAATTAGCCATCCTTGTTAAGAAAACTCCATCTCATGTTACAATGCCATGCAGCCTTTTCCTTCTAACAGAATTATTTATCGCCATAATGTTTCATTAATGCCACAGTAAGCAAAGCACCTGCAGATCTAACAGAAAACTAATTATAGTTCATTAGATGTCAGTCATGAAGTAAAATATATCTTTTAATCTCTCCTTAGAGAATGATATCTGCCTACCCAAAAGACCTGAGGTTACTCTTCAAAATGTGGCTATTTTGGCTATTTTTCCAAATAAAAGTAAAGTGCAAACCTTTTTTAGCATCTTGTTCTGTTTGTGGAAGAACTCTACTTTGATGTCACCACACACAGGTAATGGCTGAGGGAACTCAAAGTACATGAACTTGTCTTCCCGTCGTGTGGGTCCTGAATTGGAGGAATATATCTTCACCTTTAGCTGGCAGACCACAAACTGAGGATCTGCATGATTAAATACATACTAGTATCATTTCACAGAAAATGCCTTTAACTGTCAAACTATCAAAAATGATCAATATCAGCAATATAAACAAAACAGTGATTCTGCAGTTGTAATCTGATCTAAAACAAGTCAATGGAAATAAATTAGATAAAAATATAAGCAATAGAAGATTTTCTCCAATCTGAACCTTCAAAATAAGGATCTATTACTGCTATGGAAGTCAGTTCCAATTTCATGAATAGTAAGTCTTAAGAGTAGCTGTTTAGCAATATAGTAACAACAAAACTTTCACATTAAAGTTATGCCAAAAATCCTAATATAAATTACTTTAAGCTTAAAAATGATAAAACAACTTTCTAGCACATTTATGAACAACATAAAAGGTAATTTTTTTTTTTTTTTGGGAATCTCACTCTGTCACCCAGACTGAATTGCAGTGGCACACTCATGGCCACTGCAGCCTCGACCTGCGGCTCTGGCGATCCTTCCACCTCAGCCTTCCATGTAGCTGGAACCACAAGCATGCCACCATTCCTGACTAATTTTTTGACTTATTGTAGAGATGAGGTCCTGCCAAGTTGCCCAGAACAAAGTTATAATAAATTCCATAAACGTAAGTATAAATATTTATTAAAAAATTAGCCAGCACTCATTTTACCTACAGCTCACATTTTATTTTTAAAGGTATATAAAGTCACCATTATGAGAAACAGGAAGGAAAAGATTTGAAATGTCTGCAAAGAAACCAAGAGACCTCAAGTAAAGAATGCAGTACAACATCCCCTCCAAAACACCACCCCATTCTCATTAACAAATATTTTGGCTTTGGTTCTTGTCTGTTTTAAAATAACTGGTAAAATATAACTTCTCAAAATTCATTATGCTTTTACATTAGCAATTCAACTAAAAGGTGGCAAAATATGGAAAGGGAAGGATTAAATGTTTTATTTTTAAAATCTACTCATAAAATGCATTAATAGTTAATGACCTCAAGGACAGAAATTAAAAATATTAATGAGTGTTAAAATTCTAGGACTTCAAAAATCTTAATGTTACCTAAATAATTTGACAAGCTATAATTCATTTGTAGAACACTGGAGAATTAAAAAACAAATGTCCATTAAAAAGAAATGGATTAACCTTAGGAGGTAAGAAGTGGCTTTTGAAGGAAATATGGCAAGACAACCAAGAGACAGAAACATAATCTTGCATAAAATGTATGAGAAATACTTATATATAACACATAAAATTCTCAGCACTAACAGACATCATTATTTTTAAAGATGAAGTCTCAAATTTTTATCAATGTGATCAACAACTGAGAACAAGGCAAAGTTGTAACAAGTGAAATGAAATTTCCACTTTAATAAACACCTACTGCTTCACCTATCTAACATCTAAAGCAATATCAGCAACCACATAAATAATGTTTGATGCAAGCATGCAAGGTCATTATAATATGAATTTGTAAGACACTTATCATTTAAAAAAGCTACCTCGAACAGGGAAATATTAAACCAACAATCCATCAGTAAACTTCACTTTCTTGACTCAAGGTTCAAAGTGCAATGAGCCATTTCATAAGACTCTCTGTGATACTGAAATTTCACTGGGAAGTCTAGTTTGAAGAAGCAAATAAGGTATGATCTCAAAGTTGTGATAAAATTAGCTAGAATAAAAATGCCTTGTAATCTTACTCATTTAAACTCCAATTCAAAAATCTGATAATCTTGATTTTAGGATTTTAAAAAGCAAATAAACAGTATTGCCAGATTTCAATTAAACAACATCTAAAATGTACATCTCAAGACTTTTAGAATTGTAAAATTCATAAGCTATTTACAAATCAGCATTACTAAGAAGTTTCCTAAAACTAAGCAAAAATCGTTTTAATAAAAATAAGTAGTAAAAAGGTTTCCTCAATTCACTAAATAATCTTTTCTAACCATATAAATTTCACATTTTAGATAGGATCTAACTTATCAGAAGTCCAACATTAGTATGGTTCTGAGAAGTTTTAAGAAACAATTCTGATGAGACTGGGTGCTTTTCAGAGTGGTATGGCCGCAGACAGCAGACAACAATTCTGCTATATATCCTTTGATAGATTAACTGCATTCTAAAGAAATGATAAGATTGGAACCCAGTAAATAAAAATCAGTGCATAAGAGAGCGGCATGACAGATAATGCAGGCTCAGAAAGGTGAGGTGGTGGGGACGGTGGATGATAAATGATTTGGCTGGGCTCGGTGGCTCAGCTTGTAATCCCAGCACTTTGGGAGGCCAAGGTGAGTGGATTGCCTGAGCCCACGGGTTCGAGATCCACTTGGGCAACTTGGCAAGACCTCGTCTCTACAATAAATCAAAAATTAGCCAAGGTGGTAGCGTGTGCCTATGGTTCCGGCTACTTGGAAGACTGAGGTGGAGGGATCGCCAGAGCCCAGCAGGTCGAGGCCGTGGTAGCCAGCAGCATGTCACTGCACTCCAGCCTGGGTGCCAGAGTGAGATTCCAACTCAAAAAAAAAAAAAAAAGAGAGAAGTGACTTAATGGGTACAATTCAGGTGGTGGATACCCTAAAAGCCTGCCTTGATCACTATGCAACCTATGCATGTAACAACATTGTACTAACTCCACACCATATTTACAAGAAAGGCTTAACTACTCTCTTGCCCGATGCTTCCCAAATATCAGATATACTTCTCACCTAGATTCAAGTCTACACTTCCAAGTACCCACTGAATAACTTCACGTGAAAAGACCACTGTTACCAGATTTAAAACATATTTAAAACCAAAATATCAACATTCATATCTCTAAGCCTCACATTCACTTTTCTTTCTTATCTTTCTGTGAATAATTCACCTGACCAGGATCAAAACTTGACAAGATTTTTGGATATAAACGGCAAAAGAAAAACTAATCAAATTCCATTTGATTGTCCTAGCACTTCTGGCTTGAGGCAAGTTACATTACTGGTTTCCTTTCCACTATTTTTTCTCTTCCAATCACAACTTTATACATAACTGTCCTTAAAACAAGGTTGAAGTCTCTAGTATTATCATGACACTTCAATATTTATCATATCAAGTCTGTCATCCCCATTCAGAACCCTCTAACAGTCAGTGACACATTCTGCTTCTGTTCTATTCTCTGTCACTACATTTCTTGTCCAGCTCACCTCATTCTGCTGTGCTTAAATTCAAGATACTTCCCCTTCCTACAATATTTCCTTTAGTTTTAACACCAATCTAAACTGTATGCTTTCTCCAATGTTCAACATGGAGGAGGTAGTGGACTTCTTTCATGAAACTGTCTGACTAACTTTGAAACTTTTTCTAAATACAGTGTTTTTAATTTATACACACAACCTCCCTTTTAATTACATATTACTTACATTATAATACAGCTCCACTACGTAGTATTAAATCACAGTACATAAATAGGAAACCAGAAAACTAGGAAAGATTTAAAAGATTTCAGTAGTGAATAATTTTAAGACTAGAAGCTTTAAATGTAATACTGCGAGACCAAGTTGGGGGGCGGAATAGGGTTTGAATGTAGAAAGGCAGAGTAGAACTGACATGAGATTTTTGCTAGAGGTCAATGTGAAAAAATTATACTGAATGAGATTACTGAAGTGAATGTTCTCTCTCCCTGATTATCTCCTTTCTCTTGGTTATGTCTCTCTCTTGGTTCTTATGTTGGTATATTCTTACACAAAATATTATATATATTATATATATATATATATGAGTTTTCTTCCTTTTCCTTTCCTATGAGTCTGTTAAGTTCCTTTGCCAATCACCTCCAACAGTCCAGTGCCTTACAATCAGTAGTTTTAAAAATTACACTGAAATGGAAAAAAGAATCAATGAGATTCCTTAGATGCCTTTAACATGCTACATTAATCAATCTGTGGTCTCTAATAAAGTTGCCTTGCTCTAAGACTACAGAAAAGATCTGATGATGGTGATCACACCTATCTGACAAAGATAAACAACATCAAGAAATTAATTTTCTAGGTCCAAAATCATCAAGTGATAGAAAATTTTTAATTACATAAATACTTTCAAGAAGCACAACTTAAAGTTAAAAACTAAAACCACTAATTAACTGTAAAATATCACTGAAATAGTATTATAAATCACCATTTCAGTGAATTGGTATCTTATCTGGAAACCATAAAACTATATTCTAAATGTAAATAAACTGTATTTCTTAAACATGGAAACATGATCAATCACTTCCAAGGTGTTATTTAAGTCCTAATATTATGAGAGTCTATTACAGAAAAAGAAGCAACGGTCTGGTCTTTTATTGGGCTGGATCATCCTTCCTTCCATGTAGTGTCCCTTGGTTAATTGCTTTGGGTCCAGGTAGTAAGCTTCCTATCATTCTAAGAACTCTGGCCAGAATAGCAGAGAAGTAGAATAGGGTCAGGAAGACTGAGGTAGGTAGGCTTACAAAGTGAAGGGTTAAGAGGGGAAGAGAGAAGAGAGCAATAAATTAGAGACAGATATCAACGATATAACCTGTACTTAGTACTTATCCAGGAAGTTTCAGATTTCAAAGTCTTTTCATTTTATTGTTGAGCAAACTCAAAGAGAGGTAGACAATGTGCCCAGGGCTGCACAGTACATTAATGACAGATCTAGAACTGGAACCCAGATCCAAACCCAGGCTTTCTCTAACACTCCACACTCTATGACCCAGTCCTAATCTTGAGTCTTTATATACCTCAGTTTGCTGTTGTGTCTTACTGGTTCTTCCTTTCCTTTTCATTGTCCTGTCACCATTACTATCAATATCTAGTCTCCGTAAACTATTAAGGAACCAGTCCCTGCCCGAAGACCAGTAAACATGATGCATTCCACTGATACTCTCATGCTGGACCTCTGATGGGACAGTTTCTAGTCATCTGGGCAGAATTTAAGCTGCATTTGATAGTGGCAGCACAGAATATTTCTTTCTTAAATATAATTTGGCTTCAACAACATTAAAATCCATTGGTTTTGGCTTCCTTAGCCCAAATAAGCTGAACAATACAGCCAATTAATTAATTCAATACTTCAGAAATATACTCTCCTGCATAAATTTAAAATGTGGTAAATTTCTCTCTAGACTTTTATATAAATTTCTAGATATGGTAAGAAAAATTTTCCAATACATGGAAGGATGAGAATTTAGAGTACTTACTGCAAGTTCCGCCACTGAACATTGGAATAGTTTCAAACATCATCTTGTGAAACAACAGTGCCACTGGTCTATAATCCAGATGATTCTTTAACAGGTAGCTATAATAATACACATAGCGCCTCTGACTGGGAATAGTTACTCCCTGGTGGACAGAAAAACAAAAAAGAGAAGTCAAATTCAAAAGAAAAGTTCCATTATAGTTATTTCACTAAACTGCTTCAATAACTGGGTTGCAGCCATTGAAGAATATATATACATTAGAAATGCAATCTTACGTTATTAATATACTTACATTAGAGCAATATAGAGTAAATTAGAGCAGTATCAATACAAAGGACAGTATCAGAATAATTTTTCTCCCTTAAAATACAATTATCATAACACCCCACTTATTCAAACGTCACAACAATGCTCCAACCCATAAAAACAATAAGCAAAGACCACCGCATATCCAAAATAACCGTCAAAGGCCTCTGCACTCTACCTTTACTCTTTACCCCTAGGGTTTTCCACAATGATTTATGAACTCTTATTAAACACACAATACCTCACAAACTTGATTACCTACTTTTCAAGGAAAAGTATATGTCAGTATCAGCAAACTAGATAGAGGCATAGTGCCATTAAAAGGCAGAAAGAGCAGTAGCAAAAAGTGACGCTGGCCTTAGAGCCCAACAAAAACAGAAGGAGTATGCAGTTGATATAAATATATATGTAATAATCCACTAACAGAGGTACTTAAAGATATTCCTGTGCTACACATATTTCTTTGCTGAAGAAACCAGGAGAGTATTAAATGTTTTCGAAAATTACAAATGATTACAAAATTACAAATGATTACAAAAGTATTACAAATGATTACAAAATATATAATTCATGCAGCATTTAATAGAGAAGCCTGAGTTATCTAAATAAAAAATTGAATATGTGCAACAATGCATTCACTAAGGATGCTAAATAAATGAAATATTAGGATACTTATCTCAGGTTTCTTTTCTATTTCACAATGTGTATTACAAACTCAACTTAGAAATACAAGGCAAATAATAATACAACATTAAGAAGTTTAACAGTTAAAAGTGACTTGCAGAAAATAGTACCGTAAATATATGTATACTCAAGAGGAGAAATAATTTGCAATATTTCTTTTTAAGTTACTACTGGCATCTAAATTTCCCCAATGGGTTAAAAACTCTGGACACAAATATCCTTCTTCCCCCATAATGAAAAGTATAAAGCACATTTATATTAAGTTAAACAGCAGGTATGTAGCACCCTTAGTATTTTTTAAAAGTTAGCATGATTTTATTATAGACAAAAAATATGTATATGTATGCACACATACATATATGCACTAGTACATATACATATGCCAAAAAATAGGTATAGGCCATTTCTGATCATGACAAGTGACTTAAGATTTCAGCCAGAGTGCAAAGACCATACATACATTTTGTAGACAGAAGACTTGGATATGAATGCTGACAGACAAAATACAAACTCTGCAATGTGTTTATTGGGAAAATGAGGACAATATGTATCCTTCCTTCTTTTTTTTTTGAGTTGGAGTCTCACTCTGTTACCCAGACTGGAGTGCAATGGCCGCTCCGGCCACCACAGCCTTGACCTGCTGGGCTCCGGCGATCCTTCCGCCTCAGCCTTCCAAGTAGCTGGAACTATAGGCGCGCGCTACCACGCCCAGCTAATTTTTTGATTTATTGTAGAGATGAGGTCTCGCCAAGTTGCCCAGGCGGGTTTCCAACCCACGGGCTCAGACAATCCACTCACCTCAGTCTCCCAAAACGTTGGGATTACAGGCTGAGCCACCGAGCCCAGCTGTATCCTTCCTTCTTAACAGGTTTCTTATAAGGATCAAACACTAAATGTAGTTGCACAAAAGTATGGTAAAACTACAAAATGATATACGGTTTTAGAAATCATACCTGTATTTAAGGTACAGTTTTGCAATAGCTGGAATTTTATCTCAATACATTTTTCTTAAAGAAATAGTGGTAAAGTTGTACTACTCTCAACAACTGTTATAAAAATTAACATTAACAATTACCACTAGAGCCGGGCTCGGTGGCTCAGTCTGTAATCCTGTGCTTTGGGAGGCTGAGGTGAGTGGACTGCCTGAGCCCGCGGGTTCGAGACCCGCCTGGGCAGGCGAGACCTCATCTCTACAATAAATCAAAAAATTAGCCAGGCGTGGTAGCACACGCCTGTAATTCCGGCTACTCGGAAGGCTGAGGCGGAAGGATCGCCGGAGCCCAGCAGGTCGAGGCTGCGGTGGCCGGGAGCTGTCACTGCACTCCAGTCTGGGCAACAGAGTGAGACGCCAACTCAAAAAAAAAAAAAAAAAATTACCACTAAAGTTTTAAAAATATTTATTAACATAAATGGCTTATTATATCACATTATTTAATGTAACTTTAGTAAACAACTTGTCATTCATGCTTATCAAGATAAAAATACAGAATTGCTTAGCAGGCAGATTGGGGGAAATAGCAGGTGGAAGATGAGTTGCAGGGTACTTTTTTGAAGCATGTAAATTTCTGAATCATATGAATTTTTTATTTAGTCAAAAAATCAAATAAAATTTAAAAATGCTTAAGTCAATGCAAGCCTACAAGACGACCATATTGTCAAGGTATTACTTGTTAGGGTTTAGTGGATGATATTTTTCTCTTTGTCTGCATTTCTGGAGTAAGTTTGTGTGCAATAATATAAAGTTTTCAAAGTTTTAAGTTTTCTCAATTAGCAAGTGATTGGTAGTATACCTATAATGTACGTGTTTATACATACAGTTAATATTCACCAAAAAGAGCTAGGCAAATCAAGAATATATGAATCTACTAGTTGTCAACACAGGGTGAATAATTTACATGTGAATATTAGCTGAACCAAAATTACTGGCACAATTCAAAGAAAAACACTGAAAGCGAATTTTTAAATTTAATCAACTATCTTACCAGCAAAATTGTACATAATTAGGCTTCCATTTCTTTTTCTTTCTTTCTTTTTTTTTTGAGTTGGAGTCTCTCTCTGATACCCAGGCTGGAGTGCAGTGGCATGCACAGTCACCACAGCCTCGACCTGCTGGGCTCAGGAAATCCTTTTGCCTCAGCTTTCCAAGTAGCTGGAACCACAAGTGCAAGCCACTACGCCCAGCTAATTTTTTGATTTACCGTAGAGATGAGGTCTCGCCAAGTTGCCAAGGCTGGTATCAAACTCCTGGGCTCAGGCAATCCTTTCGCCTCTGCTTCCCAAAGTACCAGGATTACAAGCTACGTCACCAAGCCCGGCCGGCTTCCATTTCCTACCTCTGAAACTCTTATCTACCTGTTAGCATGCCAGCACCCTCAATTCAGCACATCCAGATTAACAAAAACAAAACAGGTGGAAGACTCACATACATATGTTCCAGAGTCTCAAATGCATCCTACATATTCTAGTTCTACCTCTCTGAGCCATGATGCATTCTCACTAAAATGTAACACCCTGCAGCCTAGGATTTAAAACAAAATGAATGAAAAGTTCACATTAAATTGAAATTTACTGATCTTCAAAGACAAGTTACAGGTCTACTTTCTATCACTAGTAAGTTTCCTCTTCCACTCTAATTGTGAAGAAAATTAAACAACTGACCCTTAAACAACACGGTTTGAACCGCATCAGTTCACTCATAGGTGAATTTTTTTTTAATAAACACACTGAAACATTTTTTGAAGATTTGGAACAATTTGAGAAAACTCCCAAACCACATAGCCTGGGGAGAAAAAAACAAAATAACTAAAAAAACTAAGGAAAGTTAAGTATGTCATGAAAACATAAAATATATGTAGATACCAGTCTATTTTATCACTTACTACCATAAGGTATATATAAATTCATTATAAAAAATTAAAATTTATTAAAATGTATGCACGAAACTCTTAAGAGTATACATAGTGTCATCTGTGGTCTAGAGGAAATGTAAACAAGTGCAAAGATACAGCACTAAGCCATAAGCGGATAAAATTAACTGTAGTACACCTACTGTACTATTTTAATAGTTTCATATGTCTGTTGTAGCTGCAGTGAGATCAATGGTTGCCAGAATCAGCTTAAAACGCTATAATGCTAATCATCTCTGCATGGACAGTTCAACTCTCCAGTAAATTGTGTATCACAATAAAAAGGCGATCTCTCAAGGTTCTGGTATATTTTTCATCATAATTCATGCAATAACATAAACCCTAAATAACACCCTGAGATCTAAGGAGTACAGAAAAGCTACAAAAGTTACTAAAAAAAAGTTTAATTTCTTGATACCACAATTGAGGTCTGCAGCTGTGGCTGTCAGTCATTTCAGACAGACGATAAACTTACGATATTGGTAAATACAGTAAAGTATTGTAAACTGCAATTTTTCTTTTTTTCTTTAGTACCAAGTTATTTTCTCTAGCTTACTTTAGAATACAGTGCATACATAATTCATGTAACATACAAAATAGGAAGCCGGGCATGGTGGCTCACACCTGAATGTATTCCCAGCACTTTGGGAGGTGAAGACAAAAAGATTGCCTGAGCCCAGGGGTTTGAGATCAACCTGGGCAACTTGGCGAGACCTCATCTCTACAGTAAGCCAAAAAAACAAGAATTCACCGGGCATGGTGGTGCGCGCTTGTAGTTGCAGCTACTTGAAAGGCTAAGGTGGAAGGATTGCCTGAGGCCAGATGGGTAGAGGCTGAGGTAGCCATGATTATGCTACTGCACTCCAGCCTGGGCAACAGAATGAGACTCCAACTCAAAAAAACAAGAAAACCAAAAAAACAGCACCCAAAATATGTGTTATTAACTGTTTGCTATTGGTAAGCCTTCTGGTCAACAGCAGGCTATCAGTCATTCTGTTTTTAGGGAATCAAAACCTACATTCAGATTCTTGAGTGGGAGGGGACTGGCATCCCTAGCCTTCATGTTGTTCAAGGGTCAACTATATTCGTAATCTTTTTCCTCAAACATAACTTTCACATATTCCGACTCTGACAAAAGTTAGCATTCTTCAGGTCGACTTAGCACCACATTCCTGGTCATCATCTCAAAAGTCAGCCATAGCTCCTTCAACTCCCTTATATTTACAGACCAGGAGGCAGAGCTCAGGAGTTTATTTGGTGTTCCTCTCAATTCCTCGTCCAGCCCCCTTTCCCAAGCTTCACCTATTTCAAATTCAGATCACCAATAGCTCCTTCTTCCGATATGAACATGTTAAACTCTTGACCACTATGATTTCAGCACTGTGTTCACCCCACCTCTTTCTATCCTGACCTACACATTATCTTCAATTAATTCAGCTTCTACTTTACTGGGAACCCTGAGGTCATCCAGTATGAATACTCAAAATTCCCTTCTTCTATCCTAAAATCTCTTCATGCTTGATATTTATTTTGTAAATGTCTCTTCCTGTTCAACAAGGTTCCATTTTGAGCATGTACTCATCAATAGTCTCCTCTCTGGCATGTGCCTTTATTCTCTCCATCAGTCTACTAATATTCTTATTCTTTACTCAAAACCAACAAGTCGAAGGCCAAAAACCCACACTCTCCTTGGATCTTATCTCTCTCTCTCTCAAACTATCATTCTCACTCTGTATAAATAGCAAAATCTCCAGAGGAAGCTTCTACTCCTTAATCCAGAGAAATTTATTATTTTGAAGCTGATTTCTTCATAGTCATTAGTGCTTTCTTATCACCTAATTTCCTACTGTTTTCCTAGTCTCATCCTGGCTGATCTTTCTGCAACCATTCTGAAACTTTCCTACTTCTGTCATAGGACTTACTGTCTAAAGGTTTTTCTTTCGACCCTTACTGGCTGTCTCCTGTCTTGTTTCTACATGCAAATATAGTTCAACATACTTCCTCCCTCTATGTCAATCCCATCTATTCCAGTACTTTAATTATTAACTTTATATAATAATTCCCAAACCTGCATCCCTCAGTATGACTTTATACAAAATTCCCAGTGCAGAATTCCAATACTTGGCTGGGTATTTCTACCTGGTAACTTCAGAAATGCTTCACACACACACATACACAAATGAAAGGTTTTTTACATGAACAAACTTCTCTTATCTGTTAATAATATTCAATATTTTCACCAGCACTCAAGCCTCTTCTAATAACCACAACCACCATTGCTTATTGAGCCCTTACCATGTTTCTGCATAGCTCCAAATGCCTTCAGAAATACATCATTAAATACTCATAAAACTAAGAAAGGTGGGTATTATTGGTAACATCATTTTATACATGAGGTAAGGTCATATATCTTCATAAGTAATGGAACTAGATTTCATCCTAGCACTAAAATCCGAGCTTCCACCCAACCACTATATGATCCTCCCATCTTCTTTCTGCTTGATAAAGAAGCAGAGAGGCAACAGCGACATATATACAGGATTACAGAAAAAATAAGTGAGGGAGCACCAGCACTATGGCAGTGGCCCAGGCAGCAGAGTAGAGATAAGAGCTACAGTGAGTATATTAACTACCTGGCACATAAACACACATATACATATAAACATAGATACACACATACACACAAAATGGGAGACAAACCAGAGATTAAGTTTATTAAGTGTACCCATCTTTGACTCCTACACATCTTTCAGTTGTCAAAATCCAGATTTTGACTCTGAAATACCACTCAATATATCTGTTCTGGTTTTCTATAACATTTCTATTTCAGTTTCTTCCAGCAATTTCACAATAGCCAACTGATTTATCATCTTCTATCTATTCTTCAATCTAATCTTTATATCCCTCTTGGATTAATCTTATGATTTATCCAATTACCAATTAATTCAAAATGCTAAATGGTATCCTAGTGTCTACAAAGAATAACAATTTATCACATATGCCAATTCAAGCACAGCATAAAAATATGCCCCCAACCTCTTTCCACTCTTACCACTCACAGTTTCCATACATGTACTCTTGCTTTTGGTCAAATAGTAGTATTTAATTTCCCCTAAATTGAACATTTTGCTTTTCTTTTAAAAACTATACTATCTTTATGAAATTAAGGTATAAGAGCATATAAGTGGCACATGTGAAGTTTTACATCTTTTTTAAACACCTAAACCAATTTAGATAAAAATTACTTGATGTTTTAAGATTTGATAAAAAGTCACCTGAAATGCAACTCACACCAAGTACTTCTTGAGAACTCCTAGCCATTTTCAATCATGCAATGTCTATTCAGATTTTTGTAGCTCACCTTAAAGCATTTATGATGACATTTTCACTTAAAATTGCCCATTTCTCTTTGAGATTTTCAAATTGAATAGCAAAGACTTGAATATAATTTATAACATCACTTCCACACTGTAGTTTTATCTCCTTTCTCAAACTTAATGTCATTTTTATTTTCCCTTTTCTTTCTTCCTTGATTGGCTTTTAAAAATATGTATTGATTTTACTGGTGTTTTTATGTAGTATTTAGGTTTATTAGTTCAGATGGTTTGCTGTGTCCTAATTCATTAATTTTTTTGCCCCTACTAATCCCTACTTGTTATTAATTTTAATCTCTAATGTAAATCTGTATTTCTTCATTGAGTCAATAATTGAAAACAAAGAAATTAAATTTCCAAATACATCTGAACAGACGAAAATAATCTCTAGTTCTAGTGAACAGTGATCAAGGGATGGGGCTTATATATTTCTACCTTCGAGTGGGCCTAATGGATTAATAATCTTGGTAACTTTTTTGACTGGTAGGAAGAAAAAAGACATACATTTCATAAGCTGATTTTATTACTCAAGACACCTATACACAGTTATACATCACCTCAGGGAAATCACCTCTGGGTAAGTTCATCTCTGTATCATCAAATGTACTTGTACAAACCTAGATGTCACAGCCTACTATACACCAAGGCTATAAGGTATAGCCTATTTCTCCTAGGCTGCAAACCTGTACTGCATATTACTGTAACGGATACAACTGTCACACAATGGTAAGTATTTGTATATCTGAACATATCTAAACATAGAAAAGGTTCGGTAAAAATAAAGTATGAAGGATTTTTTAAAAAATAGTATACCTAGCCAGGCTCGGTGGCTCAGCCTGTAATCCCGTGCCTTTGGGAGGCTGAGGTGAGTGGACTGCCTGAGCCCGCGGGGTCGAGACCCGCCTGGGCAGCGAGACCTCATCTCTACAATAAATCAAAAAATCAGCCGGGCGTGGTAGCGCATGCCTATAGTTCAGGCTACTTGGAATGCTGAGGCGGAAGGATCGCCGGAGCCCAGCAGGTCGAGGCTGCGGTGGCTGGGAGCGGCCACTGTATTCCAGTCTGGGTGACAGAGTGAGACTCCAACTCAAAAAAAAAAAAAAAAATTGGTATACCTGTATAAGGCACTTATCATGACTGGAATTTACAGTACTGGAAGTTGCTCTGGTTGAGTCAGTGAGTGAGAGGTGAGTGAATGTGAAGGCCTAGGACGATACTGTATACTACTGTAGCTTTGTAAATAATATACTCTTAGTCTACACTAAATTTATTTTTAACTTTTTGACTCTTATAGTTAACACTCAGCTTAAAACACAAATTCATGGTACAGCTAAAAAAAAAAAAAAACTCTTTATATCCTTATTCTATAAGTTCTTTTCCATTTTTAAAATGGATTTACTTTTTTAACTTTTTTTTTGTCAAAAACGAAGACTCAAACAAACAGCCTAGGTGTATAGAGGGTCGAGATCATCATTATCACTGTCTCCCATCTCCACATCATGTCTTACTGGAGGGTCTTCAGGGACAATAACAAACATGGAGCTGTCATCTCCTACAACAGAATGCCTTCTCCTGGAATACCTCTTGGAGGAACTGCCTGAGGCTATTTTAGAGGGTTTTTTTTTTCTTTTAGTAAGTAGGAATACATGTTAAAATAATGATAAAAAGTATAGTAAATACATAAACTATAACCTTTGTTTATTATCAAGCAGTATGTACTGAACATCATTTTGTGAGTTATACTTTTATAAAACTGGCAGCACCGTTAGGTTTGCTTACATCATCATCACAACAAACATGTGAGTAATGTGTTATGCTACTACTTCATTAGGTGACAGGAACTTTTCAGCTTCATTATAATTTTATAGGACCACTGTCTTATATGTGGTTAGACACTGAATGACACATCATTGCGTGGCATATGAGTGTGCCTTCTTTTTTTTTTTTTTTTGGAGTTGGAGTCTCACTCTGTTGCCCAGGTTGGAATGCAGTGGCACACTCACGGTCACCCCAGCATCGTCAACCTGCTGGGCTCCAGTGATCCTTCTACCTCAGCATTCCAAGTAGCTGGAACTACAGGCACATGCTACCATGCCCGGCTAATTTTTGATTTATTGTAGAGACGAGGTCTTGCCAAGTTACTTGGGTGGGTCTCGAATCCATGGGCTCAGGCAATCCACTCGCTTAGGAATCCCAAAGTGCTGGGATTACAGGTTGAGCCACCGAGCCCAGCCCATTTTGTGCCTTCTTGAGGTACATTAAAGATTCCTATTATTGCTTTTCTACCAATTTTTCATTTCCTTTAGCTTCTGCTTAATACAGCTTGATGTTATGCTTAGCACGAGTTCAAACTGTTAAAGTCTTCACATAGAATGTGCCCTGTGTTAATATAAAATGACATTTTATCCAGTTTTATGCTTTTTGCTTTAAATGCTACTTTGACACTGAGATCCTGTCATCTGCTTTTGAAATTTAAATTTGCCTGATGGTATCTTTAATCGATCATTTATTTTTAAACCTGGGATGTTTTATGTAAATCTCTTTTATGCAATTAATCTCTTAAAAAGACTTTTAAAGGTACAGGTTATACACTTTCAAACTAGATTTAAAAGTACAGGTTATTTCAAATCTAAAATACTGTCATATTTCTACCTTAACAGAATACCACCTTAATACCCCAAGTTTTGTTCATAATCTGTGCATCAACATTTTAAATCTTCTTCTCTAAGATGAATTCACAACCTAGATTCTTCAGTTAAAATTGTTTTCCACGTCAGTAAATTTTTCATTGGCACTTCTAAACTTAGAAATAATGTAGATGTCTCAACACAACAGTGTTTGCTTGAAGCCTGGAAATCTATGTTTCAGAATGATCACAATAAGATTACCACAAGAAAGTAATTCAACAATGAATATGGCTCTTAGAAATGGCTATTACAATGACAGCATGTAACAGCAGTTACCAGATATGAAGCTACTTGCCAACACTTTATATATATCATTAACACTGCGCCACAACTTTACAACAGAGATATTATCACCTCTATTTCAAAGATAACAGTACCAGCATTTTGGGAGGCCAAAGCAGATGGCCTGCTTGAGTGCAGGTGTTTGAGACTAGTCTAAGCAACACAGCAAAATCTCATTTCTACAAAAAAGTTTAAAAATTAGCTGGGTGTGGTGGCACACACCTGTAGTCCCAGCTACTCAGGATGCTGAGGTGGAAGGATCGCCTGAGCCCAGGAGGTTGAGGCTGCCACAAGCTTTGATCATCATGATCATGCCACTGCACTCTAGCCTGGGTGAGTGAGAACTTGACTCAAAAAAAAGAAGGGCCGGGCTCGGAGGCTCAGCCTGTAATCCCAGCACTTTGGAAGGCCAAGGCGAGTGGATTGCCTGAGCCCATCCACGGGTTCAAGACCGGCCCAGGCAACTTGGTGAGACCTCGTCTCTACAATAAATCAAAACTTAGTCAGGTGTGATAGCACGCGCCTGTAGTCTGGTTACTTGGAAGGCTGAGGCGAAAGGATCGCCGGAGCCCAGCAGGTCGATGCCGGAATGGCCGTGAGTATACTACTGCACTCTAGCCTGGGCGACAGAGTGAGACTCCAACTCAAGGAAAAACAGAGGGCGGAGGGAGCGAAGGAGGGAACAGTCCTACTGCATATTATTATCTTGTTCAAAACAATGACCTGGACCTCAATGTGAATCTAAGTCTAAAATTTTAACTAAGGTGTCCTGGGTTTTACTAATAATATGCATATGCATACAAATGATGTGATTTGAATAAAGTCACAACCTCTTAGGGCTCTTATTTTTCCTGTTTACAAAGACTCTCCAAAGTTTAGAGTGTTATCGCATTTCAGTTCTATGAAACTAATTATAAGTTATATATTAAATAGTTGTACGTCATCCACAGAATTCTTGAGCATAAATGTGGAGCAGACAACTGATATTTTTCTCTCTGCCCAGCATCCTTTTCCCTCGATTTTTCTTTGAAAAATTATTATTCTATGTTTGGGAGTGTTTGCCTTTATTCTTCAGTTTCAGATATATGGCCCAATCAGAGAATTCCATTTCCTGGCCAGAATGTTTGGTTCAGGAGAGAGCACGTGCCTCAGTCCAGGGAAATTAGAACTCAACCTACACATTTTTGCTCAAATCGTAGCTCTCTTCCCATTGCAGTTGCTAAAGTTGGTAGAATGTAAACCTGAAGCTACTAGGAACCATGCCTTGTCATTACTTGGAAAGAGCCTGAATGAAAATAAAGTATATATAGAAGAGAAAAGAGAAGAGGAGGGAAAGGAGGAACCTATGGAAAAAAGAGAGATATTCTTGATGTCTGTTGATCATCTAAATCCAGGCCACAGTTTTTAGGTTAGATAAGTCAATAAATGTCTCCTTTTGTTTAAGTTACTTTGAATTGGGTTTTTCTGACTTGAAACTGAAAAAGTCCTCATACATTATAAAGCAACTACTTTTTGTTTTTCTAGTTTCTATTTTTACTTTGGGAACCAAAACTATAATGAAAAAGAATTTGGACAGTAGAACATAGTATAGTAGATAGAACACTGAATTTGAGGTTAGAATATAGAATTCTGAGTTATTATACAGAGAGTATGACTTTCAGACAGGTTGATCTCTGCATTTCTGTTTTAACATTTAAAAATGGGTCTGAATTAAATCATTTTTAAGTTCCTTCAAAGTATAAAAGATATACAAGTTTAAGAATCTATAAATAGATAACAGTCTTAAGTACTGTGTATCAGAGGAATACAGTTTACCAAGGAGAATTAATGTGTTAGAAAAACTAAGAATATTACATTGGAAGATTTTTTTTTAAGGACAGTAATTATAGCTTGCTTTGTTTTAAACAAAGAAGAAATAAGAAAATTTCATTAAATTACAACACGAAGAAATTTAGTTAAACAGACTAGAAAAAGATCATCTGATTATAAGATTAGGACATAAAAATTAACTTCCCAGAGAAATGAAAAATTTCCTTTTCTTGAAATCACTTAAAGTTAACATTTACAATTTCTAAAATATCTACGTCTTCATTAAAATTAAGCTCAATTAACTCATGCACACAGAGCTCATAATATATAGAAACGTTATCTCTAATAATTGTCTTGGAAACAAAGAAAAAATTGAAAGTCACTCAAATTATTTTTCCCAAAGGCTTAATAAAATAAGATAAATATTAATATCTACTTTATTTGTCACCATTCTGAAACACTGGAGGGAGGGGAGGGGATAGCAGTGATTCTAGGTAAGTTTGTCATATCATAGGAGTTTACCTCTTTAAACTCAGAAATTTGGGGAATCCTTCCAAAATACATCCTTACTAGCATGCTCAGGATATTTTAACTCTTTCTTCATAAGTTTACAATAAATTTGTAAGTTATCTATAGAATACTGAAACCTAAGTACAGATGCAGACAATGAGAGGCACAGGACTAGATGGGAAGCAACCCAAGGAGGTGCCACAGAAGTCCCCAACCTTTTTTGGCAACAGAGACTGGTTTTGTGGAAGAAAAATTTTCCATGGGGCGGAGGTGAATGTACACTCAAACATCACTGCTAATGCTAATCTGTATTGGCAGCCACTCCACAGCACTAGCATCACTGCCTCAGCTCCACCTCAGATCATCAGGCATTGGGTTCTAATAAGAAACGCACAACCTAGAACCCTTGCACGTGCAGGCCACAGTAGGGTTTGTGCTCCAATGAGAATCTAGTGCCGCCACTGATGGAGCTCAGGCAGTAATGCAAGTGATGGGGAGTGGCTATGAATATAGATGAAGCTCGCTCACTTGCTTGCTCACCACGCACCTCCCTCCTGTGCGGCCAGGTTCCTAACAGGACACGGACCAGTACTGGTCCGTGGCCTGGGGGTTGGGGACCTCTGTGCTAGAGCATGCTTTTTTGGAGAGAGGAAAGAAAAAACACTGACAGTTTGCTTTTAAATAATTTGCCACACATTCATAAAGCAAAATTATCAAACATACAAATGAATGACTCCTAAGGAAGTGTGACCTAATTGCCTTCTTATAAATTGCTGAATAAAAGCTAGAAGGAACCTTCCTTTCCTCAAGCAGTTATCTCCCTCTCAGAACATCTTTCTTTATAGGAGGTATCAATTGTGTGACTTTTCTGCAACAGTCAAAACCTAAAGTATTACTTGGGTATTACTACACCAGTATCACATTTTATGGTCAGCCTGCACCCACCACTCTTGCCATCTAACTTGCACCACTTCTGCTGAGGATATGTCAAGACTCTGAGTCAGTTATTTTGAGGAGAGCTCTGCGAAGTCTACAAATCCTCTACTAAAACATGACAACTGCCTCTCTCTTCTAAAAAGAAGAAAACAAAGGTTCTGCTGCTATATAAATGTCACCAGAACACAATTTTCTTCAGCTTCTTAATGTTTCTCTATAATTAAAATTAAGGATACAAGCACAATAACATTAAATACGGATAAAATTAATCCCACACAAATTGTAATATGGATAAAATGTATGCATCTCCTGCACAAGTGATTCACAATTACAAAAATGCAAATCCACAGGCTCAACTTACACATTTCAAGAA